CGCAGATATAGCTAACCTGACAAGATCGGAGTCCATGTAGGCATTAGTTTTAAATCAGTGAAGAACCTTTCAGTGAGTTCCTGCTCACTGGAGAGCAACGAAAGCCTGAAGAATCAGAGCAGTGCGAGGATGATGAGCTGGAAGGGGGGTTTTGCTGTGCTGAGCTGCACTGCACGGTTGTATCTAGCTTTTCTTCTGCAAATGATGCAGAGGGAATGTGCTCTGGAAAACCTGGCATATATGATGTTATTTTCATCTTGATGCCATGCAAATGTACTGGAACTCTAAAACGAGAGTAATCTCTAACCACCCCAGAAGGGAAAAGGTTCATTTATTTTATAACCCCCTAAACTATTCCTCAGTTCACTATACTCCCAGAACTAGCAAGACAGGTCATTTCACCCCGTAATGAAATATATTTTCTTTTTTCGTTTTCTAGAAATCCTCTTTTATGTTGATCTTTTCCCGATGGTAGACAACACATTCTATATTATAATTATTTTCGTGATTTCCATGACTATCTGCATAGTAGGGTGTAGCTAGACCTGTTCAACACTTAGTATGCACATGTGTGCACCAAAAAGAATGAAAAGCCATAGCACAGGGCATGATTACATCTATCACTTCACAAATTTTCAAAATAAAACATGCTTTTATAAGAAACAAGAAGATCAATAACATTCTGGAGTTAACTGAACAAATTTCCAGGCAAAAAAATGGCTTAGGGAGTTATCTGGACAATCAGAAAACTTTGGATAGATAGGAGATACAATGTCTAGTGAGATCACAACCTTGAGTATGATGTCCTACACCCAGGGCGATGTCAGCACAGGCTGCAATCTGCTAAAGGTATGATCGTTAGATGCCTCGTGCTTTTGCACACACCAAGCAATGAAACCATGAGTTGTTAATTTCAGAAGATTTCCATTTATATATGCCAATGCACCGCAATCAAAAATTATAAGTAAACAGAGGAAAGAAAAATTAAGTCGAGATTTACGGAGAGAATATATCAGTTGACCCTATAGCTTGGAAAACGCCCTAATAATGAATAAAAATAAGAAAAAGAGATCGACCACTTACTTTCATTACGGTCAGCAATATGATACTCTTTTTTCCAGCAATCTGTGCCCCTGTATATAGAACCGTCACAATGGCTGCTATATGGGAGTATCTCCATAGGGGGTACACCATCCTCAATTGGGTAAACAATTAGCTGTGGTACCCCTGCAGCCAAGCTCTCTTTTGTCTCCACTGCTCAGTTCACAACCAGTAACATCCACAATTTCTCCTGTTGTATCAGCTTTGTTGTCTATGACTCCAAAGGTTGTCCCACAAACACCTTCGTAACCAGAAATGACATTCCCGCTTGATGTCCTCCCATCTTCTGCACCATTCCCGCTACAATGAGTAATGAACTTGTTCATTGTGTCAGTATTGCTTTTCTCTATATCCTTCGTGCCTTGGGAAATGGCAGAGTGCTTGCCCAAGGAAATAATGAAACCCTTGGCAGAAGGGTTGAGAGGTCTTCTTTCTGGTTCACCCAACTCCTCGCCATTTACTATATTGCTGCTAGCCATATTTCGATATCCATGAAGAAATCTATCACAAAGAGCATCAAAGTCATAAATAAGATGGTAAGTATTATCAGTCAGGAATGAAGTCATATAGAATACTAGTATATCCAAGCCTGAAATTGGTTTCTGGTTTCTATCTGTGAGCCTCTTTTCTCTGTGTTTGGAAATCATCATGGATTAATTGCGTGGTTTTCCCCCATTTGCCTTTTTTTATAAAAGAAATCAACAACACAAGAAGTGTAAATAAAAACCCAGACTTGGTCCCAATCCAGATCCTTTATAAAGGCTTGTTTGGTTTACTATCATACCAAAAAAAATAATCAAAATCTAGGTAATTTTTTACAATAGCAATGTTTTGGTAAGGTAACATTGAAAATGAATGTGTTTGGATTGATGTCAATTAGGAGCCAAAATTTATATTATGGTGAAGAAAGTTCTAGAATTGTGTCAAATTGAGCATGGGCATTACCAACCTTTGGCTTGAAACCAAGCCACCACATTACTAACTATTTAAACTAAAAAATACTATATATTTTGGCATTGATCCAAACATGCCCTAAAATCTATATAGTAGCAACAAAAGGCACAAACATTACCGTGAGAAGAGAAGGGCTCACCGGGAAACACTACAGGTAGGTCGATTGGCTGCGGAATCAAAGCAATGAACTCGTCGCGCAAGCGCTGATGGCCACCACCATGGAGATGCCACGAAAGACAGGAGATAAGGAGAGGACGAGGCGGCAAAGAGGCGGCGCATTGAGGCAGGAAAAGTTGTCCAGCCGCTCTCCACCGTCGCTGGTCCCGCTTCGCTCTCCGCCGTCAGCCGGCCGGTCACGAGGCGGCGGCGCCGGTGCTTCGATTGTTGGCTGGGATCGATGGGGTTAGGGATTTTAGTGGGGAGACGAACAGTTTAGTTGGTGAAAAGAAATTTATTTTTGTCATTGACCGGATATTAAAAGATATTTTCAAATACGAATAAAAGAACTAATTTCATAACTCGCCTAGAAACCGCGATACGAATTTATTAAGCCTAATTAATCCATCATTAGCACATGTGGGTTTATGTAGCACTTATGGCTAATCATGGACTAATTAGGCTTAAAAGATTCGTCTTGTGATTTCCATGCAAACTGTACAACTAGTTTTTTATTTTATTTATATTTAATGCTCCATGTATGTGTTAAAGATTCGATGTGTCTGCATTGTACTGTGTAATTTTAAAAAAAAATTCTCCTCCACTCTGTGTGTGTTTGGTTTCTGGAATAGTTAGAAAAGAATGGAAGTTTGAGGGGTGGGGTTGTTAAATACGTTGTTTGGATGGTATCTACGGATTGAAGGAGTTCTACTCGGACAAGACTGGGTCTTTACCATATCGTGAGGGGTCCGATATCTCCGAGTCCTACTTGGAGATCAAGTGACCCGCGGTATATAAGATACCCCCTGGGTAGGACCTAAGGCATCGAATATCACCACCAACACATCCACCACAGCCTACGGAGCCGGAGCACGCAGGAGCCAAGCCACCGGGAGATCTAGTGGGACCAACTCGACTACGGTCTCGTCGGTATCATCGAGTTCTGCTATTCCCTTTATAATCTGTGGTTTTCATCATATAATCCCATACCAACTGGATTATGGCTATTACTTACCAAGGAGCCTGAACCAGTATAATCCTTGTCTTTTGTTTGCTTGTTGTCGTACTATGTAGATCCTCGTACCAATGGACCCCAATACCCTCTATATCTGGTCTACGGGTACCCACCGTCGACAGCGCTGCCTTCCTGTGGCGACCCTGCTGCCGCCTCCCCTCCCGCTGGATCTGGCAGAGGAGAGGGCGCCACCGCTTGCCGCCACCTCCCCGTGGGAAGCACGCCGCCCCTGCAACACTCCCCGACCTCCATCACCAGAGAGATAGAGTGGATAGAGAGAGAGGGGTAAGAGGAGGAGAAGAAGAAGAAGAGATAGGGGGAGAGAGAGGGGATCGCGGAGAGGATGAGGAGAAAAAGAATCTCGATGACCTATTGCATCGTGCACTTTGTAGTCCACCACTTGACTCGGCTCGGTTTTGGAAGGTATCGGTTTTAAATTAACCATCTGTTAACAACGGAATTTTGCATCAGAATTGGAAAAGAAGGAACAAGATTGAAGTGGATTTTGTGCGGAATTGAGTTGGATTTGGAGTCGGACTGCGCATCGTCTAGGCATCGTATCAGCTAGAAACAGAGTCGGAGTTTGACTAAGCCGATATGGCAAGTGGCCGATACGGCCTGACTTGGGTTCGATATGGGCCCAGATTGGAATATCCGTCATTGCCAATTAGAGATAAAACTCGATTAAGGCAATTTGGAATTATCTATTTATGTTATCCTAAGTTGCAATGATGCATATCTTGGTTGACCACGAGTACCAATAATTGTGTACTGAAACTGGTATTGGCAATGCGGTTCCATGGAATTCAGTTCACGCCAATTTCCTATGGCGCACCCTCTTTGGTGTCACTATTAGGTGGTGCCAGGGCGGGTTGTGATAGCCAGCCATTCCGAAGTTCTTGCCTTGCCATCCCGCCATCCGCCCTATTGACTTGTGGAACAAAGCTTGATGGTCTATTTTCTGCAGTCTTCCAATGGACAATGGTAGACCGAGGTATTTCATTGGGAACAAAGGTCTGGTCACTAGGATGTTTTCTAGGATCTCATCGAGGCCGATGTCACTGCATCTAATAGGGCAACCTGTGACTTTTGTATGTTGGCGCACAACCCAGTTGCCTGCCCAAAGTTTTGCAATGCCTGGACATCTTCTTGTTTTTAGGTCGATGAAGACCGCCAGTCATATGCATATATTAAGATTCGGAAACGCACCGACCTTCCTCAAGGATTACTAATCAGCCCAAGGTCCGTTGCTTTGGATATATAGCAGTCGTTGCTATAGGTCTATTGCTGTGATGATAGAAAGTGGGTCTCCTTGAAATAGGTCCATGGCATGATGTATCACATTTGCGGGGATGCTATTTTGCGGGATCTTAAAACCGAAAGTTGTCAACAACCCCACAACCCAGTCATCATATCTTTGTGGAAAACTATGTTGATGTAGTTCCACTTTATAGAGTCAAAAGCTTTTTGAAATGTCCACTTAAAGAGGAGCATGAAGTTGTTATGTATGCTCGCCCACAAATAAAGACATTTTGATTGCCGAAATCAACAAGTGTATTAGAGCAGGTGCAATAAGGCTGATTTTGGCACTTAGCTTTCCTAACTCATACTCTTTGTTTTTAGCTTTCCTAGATAGACTGTAGTTTTGTATTTATGTTTAACGTTTGACCGTCCGTTTTATTTTGAAAAAAAAATTACGATTAGTATTTTTGTTGTTATTAGATGATACTTTATGTGTGACTAATTGTTTTTATAATTTTTTCACATAAGATAAACGATCAAACGTTGGACATAAAAACTATAACTATACTTAAAATGAGACAGAAATAGTATTTGAAAAACGTGCTAACAGAAAATCGTAAACTCAATTAGCCCTTATAGGGCTCTACTCACAGTATATTCATTTCATCTCAAACCCATGGTCTGCACTGCTAGAAAATAAAAATAAAAAATAAAAAACGATGAGTAAAATTTGGAAATGGAGAGAGCAAAGCAACCAACTCGCTGGCTCGCTGTGGGCCCGGCCTATCGACTTCTCCACCTGCTCCGTCTGCTGCGAGTCAAACATGTTCTCGTCCTCTTCGTCTATGACCAGTTGACCACCACTCCACTGACCACTGATCAGTCTCTGCTGCTGCTGCGTGGAACTCTTCCAGCTCGCCGCCGAGCTTCCCCAGGATCACGGCGGTGAGCTCCGGCCATCAATCAACATTCGCCCCCGCCGTCTTTTGCGGTTCGTGTTGATTCCCCACCTGCTGATCTAGATCTGCTTCTGCTTCTGTTTCGCAGGATCTTTCTTTGCGTACGGTCGAGGAGCATATGGAGGGGTTTCTGGTGACCGCGGCCACCGGGGCACTCAAGTCCGTCCTGGTGAAGCTCGCCGCCATGGCCGGCGAATTCGAAGGGGTGCGCGGCCAGATCAGTTTCCTCGCCGACGAGTTCGCCGCCATGCACGCGTTCCTCCTCAGGATGTCGGATTCGGAGGAGGGGAACGCTGACCCTCAGGACAAGGCCTGGACGAGGGAGGTGCGGGAGCTCTCCTACGACATCGAGGACAGCCTCGACGAGTTCATGCTCCATGTCGTCGACGGATCCGCTAATCCGGATGGGTTCATCGTCAAATGCAGGAATTTGCTGACCAAGACCATGGCCCGGCGTCGGATTGCCAAGATGATTGCTGAGTTCAAGGCACAAATCAAAGAAGTGGGGGAGAGGAATGCGCGATATATGAATGGTGGGATCAGTTTGATGAGGACAGCTAATGCGACCGTAGACCAAAGAGCTCTTACCATCTTTCAGGATGTGTCATCTCTAGTTGGGGTTGATCAGCCGAAGAAGGAGCTCATCGATCTGTTGATGAAAGATGATGGGCATGTGGCATCCGAGCATCTAAGGACCATCTCCATTGTTGGAATTGGGGGATTAGGGAAGACAACGATCGCAAACCTCATCTTTGAGGAGCTGAGGGAGCAATTCGATTGTTCTGCTTTTGTGTCTGTGTCAAGAAACCCTGTGTGGATATTATGGGTACCCCATACCCATACGGCATGGTTATCCGACTAGTCATAGGGGATAACTTATATCTATGGGATATGTAATAGATCATGACTCGGGTATTACGTTTCCTTATATATTACGGAACAGCCTAAAGTCCTGGTTTGATAATATTGTAAAGTAGATTTAGGAAACCGATACCGTATTGGTTAAGGTTTCTATCTTGTAATCCTGCCCCCCACCCTATATAAGGTGGGCAGGAGGCCCTCTAGGGGGCATGAGACAACCTGATCGTCAGATCAATACACACTCGGCGGATTCAAATCCCCAAACAGGAGTAGGGTATTACCTCTCATTGAGAGGGCCTGAACCTGTCTAAATCCTTTGTCTTCGCATCCATCCACTTTTAGGTCTCGTGCGCTACCCCCTTTTATTATTGCCGAATTCATGTTTCGACAGTTGGCGCGCCAGGTAGGGGTGCGTCGAGATTCCCGTCGGTAAAGTGCGTTGGAATCAATCACCAACATGACCGGATCGTACACGCGCGTCATTCACCGCCGCAAGAAGCACGGAGGGCGCGTCTCATCAGAGCGTTGAGCGCCTGCCAGATCGAGAGATCGCGCCGATCGGTCGTGTGCTGTTTGGACTTCCGGATCGGCGAGCAGCTACGCGTGACCGGCAGCAACCAGCCGCCGGCGCATGATCTCCGTCGACGTCGCTTGGTCTAATTCAATCCGGCCGACCACCTCGATCAATCTACATCCATGCGGCTGTATAGTCCACGCGTCAGATCGATCCGCATGTGCATCACATGACGAGGGTCAAGCAGGGAGCAAGACTATGGCATATGCATCTAATCTTCTTCCTGCTAATTAGATTGATTATTAAATCAGATTGATTGATGGTCTTTTTCCTCTTTGCTCTTTCTTCTGGTGTATGCATGTTGCCGGCGACCAAGGTGTTCAATTAGGCACGGTATGATTAAGCCGTCGCTACGCAAGGCGAAGCCGTCCACTCTCTGAGCGAATCCAACTCGTGGGCTGGACAGGCATGCACGAAAGTTCACATAACGAGATCGCTGGAGATGTACAGGATGTGTCGATTCAACCGCCATGCATGGATTAATTAATCCAGCCATACATGCATTCAATCGCTGAGATTTATACATTTAATTTGCTGATATTAATCAGATTTATTTTATTTGTTTCCATGAGAATCTCGGAGCATCACCGATGGACGTCCTGCGGGCTATGGCCACCACGGGCCACACATGGGAACAGCCAGCCTATGGCTAATCAGGAGAGAACACGTGCAGAAAGTTGATCTTACCGATCAACAAGCACCATTAATTTACTTAATCATGCCTATATATTTTTATCATTAACCAAGTTGGTTTGTTGTCTTGTTCTGTAAGCACGCCGAGCCATGGATCGCTTGATTAGTCCTAGCGACAGAGTGCAACACCAGCAACCAATTTTCTCCGTCTCGGAGTCAGTCCGGTCGAGAAAATCAATCTCGGCGAGTTCAACAATTTAAATCTCCGACTCCGCCGGGTTTTTTCCTTTTCAACTTATTGTTGTTTATTAGATTGATCTCTAAATATCAGATTAATCTCTTGGTATTTCCTGTTGTTTACATGTAATGCTGTGGCACTGCTGTTGCCGATTGGTGTTTCCGCCTGCACGGCTGGCCTATTATGCCGTCGTTGTTGGGCATCTACGACTTCACTGTCGGCCTACCTCCGTCGCCGCCAACTGGTGTCCTCGCCTAAACGGTTGGTTGGTCACACCACCGTTCATGGGCGTCCACGTCTTCACCGATCGGCTAGCCTTCGTTGCCGCCGACTGGTGTTCTCGCCTATACGGTTGGATGGTCGCACCACCGTTCATAGGCATCCACGACTTCACCGCCGGCCTGCCTCCGTCGCCGCCGAGTGGTGCCTCCGCCTACACGGCTGGCCTATTATGCCGCCGCTGTTGGGCGTCTGCGACTTCACCGCCGGCCTGCCTCCGTCGCCGCCGAGTGGTGCCTCCGCCTACACGGCTGGCCTATTATGCCGCCGCTGTTAGGCGTCTACGACTTCACCGTCGGCCTGCCTCCGTCGCCGCCGAGTGGTGCCTCCGCCTACACGGCTGGCCTATTATGCCGCCGCTGTTGGGCGTCTACGACTTCACCGCCGGCCTGCCTCCGTCGCCGCCGAGCGGTGCCTCCGCCTACACGGCTGGCCTATTATGCCGCCGCTGTTGGGCGTCTACGACTTCACCGCCGGCCTGCCTCCGTCGCCGCCGAGTGGTGCCTCCGCCTACACGGCTGGCCTATTATGCCGCCGCTGTTGGGCGTCTACGACTTCACCGCCGGCCTGCCTCCGTCGCCGCCGAGCGGTGCCTCCGCCTACACGGCTGGCCTATTATGCCGCCGCTGTTGGGCGTCTACGACTTCACCGCCGGCCTGCCTCCGTCGCCGCCGAGCGGTGCCTCCGCCTACACGGCTGGCCTATTATGCCGCCGCTGTTGGGCGTCTACGACTTCACCGCCGGCCTGCCTCCGTCGCCGCCGAGCGGTGCCTCCGCCTACACGGCTGGCCTATTATGCCGCCGCTGTTGGGCGTCTACAACTTCACCGCCGGCCTGCCTCCGTCGCCGCCGAGCGGTGCCTCCGCCTACACGGCTGGCCTATTATGCCGCCGCTGTTGGGCGTCTACGACTTCACCGCCGGCCTGCCTCCGTCGCCGCCGAGTGGTGCCTCCGCCTACACGGCTGGCCTATTATGCCGCCGCTGTTGGGCGTCTACGACTTCACCGCCGGCCTGCCTCCGTCGCCGCCGATTGGTGCCTCCGCCTACACGGCTGGCCTATTATGCCGCCGCTGTTGGGCGTCTACGACTTCACCGCCGGCGTGCCTCCGTCGCCGCCGAGTGGTGCCTCCGCCTACACGGCTGGCCTATTATGCCGCCGCTGTTGGGCGTCTACGACTTCACCGCCGGCCTGCCTCCGTCGCCGCCGAGTGGTGCCTCCGCCTACACGGCTGACCTATTATGCCGCCGCTGTTGGGCGTCTTCGCTTTCACAATCGACCGCCATCGTCGCCGCCGACTGGTGTCTTCATTGTTATTGATGGACGACTTTGTTCCCACATTGGCCACTTCTACCATCACCAAGGGGAATATTACAAAGCTAAGTCATCATTTATTTTATTCTTTATATGATATTTTTCCTTTTTCTCTGCCTCACTACACCAATTGGTCTTCCATTGAGTAGTGAGTCGGGGGCTACAGATGTTATATCATATTTTTTATAATATTTATCTTCATTGCTTGCGACATAATCTGAGTACAAAAGTACCTATCGAGTTATGGAGTTCTATCTTCCTCTGCTTTCCGTTTGGTTTGCCAATGGATGGTTGCCTTTGGGCCGATTCCTAGCACCCGGGGGCTCGTTGGATGGACCGAGTAACGCAAGGTGCTAAATATTATTCGGAATAAATCAAAAGCATAGAGATGAGATAAATTTATTTTCTGCTCTTAATAATTGCAAAAGTACCCGAGTAGTAAATTCTGATCCGTGAAACTTTATTCCATTAATGACGAACTCATGTCACTCATATGCATGTTTGGGAAGTGCCTAGGCCGACTCCCGGTGCTTGATGGTTATGACTAGTCGGACAGAGTGTTTAAACGTACAGAGTCATCTGCTCGGGGAAATCAAAATTGACAAGAGGAGAAATACATATTTATAAATATTTTAAAATACTTGATTTTTTCTCGAGTATTATATTTATATCAGATACTACTCATCCTATATGTTTGTTCTGCAGGATCCAGATCCAGATATGCATAAAAGGGATTCATGGTTTTAAGCTTATCTCTTACGCTCCAGGAATGGATCAGTCAGAACATCACCAACCGGCCGCCTCGTCTGCCGCCGACTGGTGCTTCCGCCTGCACGGCTGACTTATTATGCCGCCGTTGTTGGGCGTCTACGACTTCACCGACCGGCTTGCCTTCGCCGCCGCCGACTGGTGCTTCCGCCTGCACGGCTGACTTATTATGCCGCCGTTGTTGGGCGTCTACGACTTCACCGACCGGCTTGCCTTCGCCGCCGCCGACTGGTGTTTCCGCCTGCACGGCTGGCCTTTAATGCCGCCGTTGTTGGGCGTCTACGTCTTCACCGACCGGCTTGCCTTCGCCGCCGCCGACTGGTGCTTCCGCCTGCACGGCTGGCCTATTATGCCGCCGTTGTTGGGCGTCTACGTCTTCACCGACCGGCTTGCCTTCGCCGCCGCCGACTGGTGTTTCCGCCTGCACGGCTGACTTATTATGCCGCCGTTGTTGGGCGTCTACGTCTTCACCGACCGGCTTGCCTTCGCCGCCGCCGACTGGTGTTTCCGCCTGCACGGCTGGCCTTTATGCCGCCGTTGTTGGGCGTCTACGTCTTCACCGACCGGCCGCCTCGACCGCCGCCGACTGGTGTTTCCGCCTGCACGGCTGGCCTATTATGCTGCCGTTGTTAGGCGTCTACGTCTTCACCGACCGGCCGCCGCATCCGCCGCTGACTGGTGTCACCGCTTGCACGGCTGGCCTGTTATAACGCCAACTGATGCTATCTTCTTCACGGCTGGCTACATCGCTGTCACTACTAATAGGCATCAGTATCTTCAACACAAGCTGCCTACATTTGCCATGGCTGCCGACTGTTTTCTTCACTTCCATGGCTGCATGATTCTGCCAGTGTTGATTGGCCTTACCATCTTCATCGCCGGTCGTCTCGTCTGCTGCTGACTAGTGCCCTCGCTTCTACATCTGGTTTATACAACTATCACTACTGATGAACATCATCGTCTTCCGTCGCCGACTGGTTATGTTGTCGCCGACTAGTGCTTTTATTTTCACAACTGCGCGTCTTCACTACCAGTTTGCTTCTGTTGCCGACGACTCGTGTTCACTTCATCACGGCAATGCAACTTTGTCATCATGGTAGAGCGACTTCATCTTTATTATCTTCGGCACTGGCAAACTCTATTGATGCTACTTCGCAAGTTTTGCTACTTCACCAACCACGACGTCTTTGTGAGCCTCGACATCTCGGCATGCGATGCCATGTTATTTTACTACAACAAGAGGCTCTCCAATATTCAGGATTTCTACTTGA